TGTGTTCTACAGATGAAGGGGACCACAGAGCCAGTTCTGGAAGAAGTACACGCTGAGTTGAAGAAGGTCATTGTTTTCTTTTTACATTGAGAATTCTATATCCCACGAACACTGAAGAGTGGCCAAAATCAGATGTCAACTTGTCTCTTCTGCTGCAAAGGAGTCTAAGAGGATCGAGAGCTTGAACATCTTCTCCAAATTCCAGAGCTATTGGACTGCATGGGTCTCCAGTTTGGGTCTGTTATTCAAAAGACTCGTAGGTACATGAGGAAAAACCCAGTGCTCAGTGCTGCTCCCACTGAGAGCTGCATCGCTCTAAGTCACACACAGAAATACTGGCTTTAAATGCTCCTTGTCAAGTGCCACATCTTGTTGGGTGAGATGGGGTCCTGCTCCTTGAGGAAGTCAGAGGCCCAGAGACTGACAATGACTTAATTCGATAGAATTCATGAATGAAATGGGACACCCTCCTGGAAGTCATCTTCCAAGATGGCTGACTAATACGCCTAGAGGAACTGGGTACATTCTATTGGTTATGGACTAGAAGCGAAACTTCATTTTTAAAGCAAAGGAACATCTCAGACTGCAGGAAACAATTACCACTGTGGATATGCCTGTCTCCAGTAAGGCAATTTAGGTACTCACAGCCCCAATCTTGGGTATCCAATCAATTCTATCTAGCAAGTGCTTTCTTGGATAGAGAGGCATGTATGCTGTAATGAATACATCATTCTCTCTATGGACTATCTCTACACTTATATATAAAAATATGCATTTTTACATATAAAATCTGGGTATATATCATATATATATACCACAACACAGGAATATATATGTAGCATGTGTGCGTTTCCTTCAGGAAAGGAACTCAAGCTCAACAGCAGAGAAGATCAAGTATAATTAACCAAAGGCAAGCATGACAATGACCCCCAATTGATGAAGCCTCTAGAACTGTGGTGGCAATTACCTCAGCCTAATCAATGTCCCTTAAAATTCCTGAGACAGGCCTTCAAGAGAAACACACGGTTGTCAAAGTCTTATTTTCAAAAAGAAAAATAAGACAAAGCCTGAAGCTGGCCAGAGGCTGGGGGCGGGTGGGTGGGTGGGTGAATGGGGAGTAGGCTTCCAGCATACTCCCGGGCTCCAGGCTACTCCGTGGACCATGTTGAGGGATGAGGGAGTTGGGCATGATGTCATTGCTACATGCAACATAAATACCAAAAGAAAGAAACTGTACAGAAAAGAAAAGAGGTATCTCTTCTAGAGAGAGACAGGGGAAACTAGACTCAGGGCTGCTGGGAACCCGTTTTACTCACAATAGATCACTACCAGTGTGCAGTTAATATAGAGTAGGGGCCGTATTCCAAGGCAGCACAGGGGAAAAAATAAATCAAAGATATGTCAATGATTAGAAGTTAAAGAAAATGCCTTCAAACACAACAATCTAGACATGACTTGCCCCCTAAGAGTCCACCCTTTGGCAAATTTGAGAGGCTGGGGGGTGAGGAGGGAGGAAAGTAAATCATTAGACCAGGTAGGTTTGTTAAACAGAAAAAGAAAAGGGGTAAATAGTAAACTCCAAGAGCTTGCTCCTTGGCCAGAAAGATGCATTGGACCGACTTCCTTTTGGCAGAGCTATGAAGAAATGGAAAGAAATGAAAACGTTAAACTGTACTACCACAGAATTTCCAGGAATGGAATGCCCACACTCCATATTTCTCCAGATAACACAACACAGTACATTGAAGGTTATTGAATGAAAATGAATGAGGAGGTAAGGGTGGTGTAGGAAGGGAAAGGACTGGATTGGGAGAGAAGGGTCAGGAAGCTTTGGGTAAAGACCAGGGACTGTCATCCTCTCTGTCCGCAAGGAGGTGACTCATAACGACCTGGACAAATAGCTCTGACCAATGATTATGTGGGTCAGCTGCTCTCTCTCACTTAGGGCACCAGGCAACGCCGGTTCAATGGCATGGGGCCACTTCAATGCACTACTGACAACCCTATCTCCTTCTCATGAAAGTTTCTTTGCCACCAAAACATATCTCTGACGTCCTCATTGGATTGGCCTGCAATGGGAAATTTGTGTTCAATAATTCATTTTATTGTAACCATCCTCCCCTCCTTCACACACATATCTGCATCCTACCATTGGTGCTATGGCCTTATAATTCAGAAGAAAAGTATTTGGACAACTCTGGTTTTTATCAAACATGACCCTCACAGCCAAGGGCTTTTGTAAGCTGTGGAGCCCAAGGCAGTGGGAGGATGTGGGGAGATGGGGGTGAGACCCTGGGGACCTCTTCTGCAGCAATCGGTGCCATGCATGAAGGGAGATGATGCGCTTCACAGTTCAAGCAACATTAAAAGGAAATCAAGAAGATAAAATTTTCAAAAATTATGTGCTTTTTTCCCTCCAGGATATAGCTAAAAGCCACTTTTTTACTTGCCTGGAAGGCATATGGAAAAATAATCCACAGGCCAAATTCTTTTGACTAGGACATTAAAAATGTCCCTGCTGTGTTCTGCTAAGGTGTCACCAAGTATGAGAGTGAGAACCAAAGAAGCTCTCTTCTCCCTTTCACTTCTACCCTCACCTCCCCAAGTCTGTTCTCCATTCAGTCACCACCAAGATCTTTACAGGTAAGAACTGATGATGTCATTTCCTTGCTTAAGATCTTCCCACAGCTTCCTAGGAGAGGACCCAAACTCACGCCCCCTGCCATGGCTGTTGCCTTCCTCGGATCTCATCTTGTATCACCCTTTTCCCAATGCCATCGACTCCACTGGCTGTCCTTCTGCCCACCAAACGCTGCAAACTGAGTCGTGCCTCTCTGCCGAAGGCTCTTCCTCCTGCCTGAACCGAGTCTTGGCTTTAACGTCAAGCAGCGATGGAGACCTCCTGGCCTTCCATGCAGAGAAGCAGCAGCATCCCTGCACGATTCCTCACATTCTTGGGAAGTCTCCTCTCTCTTCCTAGCACTTATCTGTCTCTGAATTTAATTGCTTCCACGATGATGGGTTGGCTCCATTCACTAGAGTGAAGGTTTCAGGAGGACATGACTTTATCACGTTTACTATCCATTTCTGACACCAAGAATAGCACGTTGCACAAAGAAGGCACTTGGAAAAGGGCTGCATAACTAACCAATTAGCAAATCATAGTCTTGCCAGGTCGTTGACACCACTATGGGATGCAGGCCCCTGCAAAAAGCCCTGCATGAGTTATTGGTCTCAACATTCCCCTGCCTTTCCCAAGACGCTCACTCCAAAGAGCTCACCCTCTTGAATTTGCTACTTCTCTTGCCTCCAAATGTTGTACTATTTCTCATGGAAATGATCCCAGAGACCCCTGGAGATGCTTGGTCAGCTGGGCTGTGGATGGAGCTGGGCTGACTTCCTGGTAGGAGGGGCCTTTTGAATCATGGAGTCTACAGGGATTGGTTAGGGAGTGAGGTTTGCTCTGTGCCTTACACTGTCAGATGCTGTTCATGGTAGGTCAGAACCAGGGTGGTTGTAGGCCCTGAGATTAGAGGCTCTTGTTCCAAGATGTCAGTAAGTATTCATCTTGGTGAGGTGACAGAGTATGGGAGATGGGGGCCTTGTGTGTTAGGGAAGGAGAGAGGAGCAAAACAGGGGAACTAAATTACCCCCAACCTTGGGAATCAGCTTGCAAGGATGTCCACAGAAAGTTCTGTGGGCCACGAGTGCGTCCCGTAGGGCATGTGCTCCTGAGACTGGGTGGCATTTTCACGCCCCAGCAGAGCAATATTGTAACCCACTGGCTTCGTGTGCCCCCTTTAGAAGTTCAGTGAAAAGGGCTCTTGCTTGACTTGGCATCTCCCACAATGCTGCTCTTCGGTCTGGTTTCAGCTTGTGAAAAAGTATTTTATGGAGTGATCTTTCTTAACTGTGTTCTTACTCATCAGAATCAAGAGCGCCCATCCCGCCCTTCTCTCCTGCCAGAAAGATTAAGGTACTCAGAGAGCAGCCTCAGGAGAGGCCTTCAGGGGAGCTGAAGTCCTGGGTGTCAGCTGTGTGACTGTCAGTCACTGCATCCTCTCACCACCCTTGGAAGCTTACCTTCCCTCTGTTTTTATAAAATGGGATGAATAACACCCCTGCCGATTATGCACAGTTGACAGGATCTACACAGGATCATAAGGAGGCTTTAAAACCCTGAGTCACCAAGGATTTTTGCTTTCTCTGGTGTTGAGACCAATTTCTGTTGGGCAACAGCACAACTGCTGCAAGCGGAACAGCCTGCCCCAGGCAAAGCACACTTTAAGTCAAGGTGTCATTGAGGCTCACAACTCAGCAAAGCCATCTCAAGAGGCCCCCAGGGCAAGTCAATTTAGAGACAGGATAAGCCAGAGGCTCCTGAGCTCACTCGGGTCTACCCCAGAGAGCAATGGTGCTTGATGTTGGCCTTTTGAGACATGGCAATGGGAGCCCATGGATGATGGCAATGTGCTTTCGTGGGGAGGACCAAGTGTATCACAATGGAAAACTGTGGCTTTCGGCACCAAGAGCTGCAGGAATCCCAAATGGAAAGTGAGTCCACTCTGATTTTGGAAACCGAGTCTAGTACAGCCCCAGTACAGCCTTCTTGGCACTTGGTGGTTCCTATCCATTGGAAATCACTATACCACATCATTCCCCACCCTATAACCTTAGCTACCTTCCTTTTGAGGCTTTGCACTTGACTACGTGAGGCTGGACATAGCTACCTATCTTGACCATAGCTTGACCTATCTCTTCTGAGTCAAGGAGTGGGGTCAACAGTCAAAGACCAGGGATCAATAGTGGTGACTTTTCATCCTCTGTTGTAACCAAGTGAGGATGGAATTTATTTCCTGTGTCTTTAAACTGCTGGGTGAAACATAAACATAGCCAAGAAAACTCTTGGTGTTTAGTGTTTCTCTAATAGGAAAAGGAGTTTGGGGAGTCAGAGGAGAGGGAAGGAGAGGGGAGAGGAGGGGGGAAGAAACACTACTTACGCCGTTTGCAGCCGCATTTTTTTATTCTTTTGGGATCTGTGATGTCATCATGACAGGCCTTGCAGTAAAAAAATGCCCTGGAGAAAGAGAATGGAAAAACTGACACGTTTCATAACCCACCCAAACGAAACGAGTACCACATTTCCTCTGCGGTGGTGCCAAATTAATGAAACATGCCAGCACTAATTTCCTTTAATCTTTTGAAAAGTTTAGACATTTGCAGACGGAAATGTTTGTTGCAAGACCATTTATTTCAAACACAGGGTTCCGTGATTTGAGTTAGTGCTTCTTTTCATAAACTTCCACTTGAAAAGCAACGGGGAGAAAGGTTGCTGCACTGACACACGGTGTCTGCTCGCTTGCCTTTCAAGTGAGAACCGCCTTGGGAGCCGCTCAGGAGAACGAGCGGGCAATCGGCTCTGGGCCCTTGGTGGGGAAGTTAAATGTAACTCAGAAACCCCACAGTCTGGTCAAATCTATATTAAAGGGGACACATGTCTGACGCTCCTCCGTCAAACACAAATATTAACCTTGTCACTTTGAAAGCACCTTCTCTTGTCAGCCAAAGAGAGAGAGTATTGAGGAGGGGGCTGGAGAGCCAACAGCAAAAGCAATGAGTTGAGCAGTTGGTTCTTCTGTCAAACTGCCCCTGCAATGTCATAGCACATTTCATTCCAATGCTGGCTAGCCCAACCCCCACACTCTCCAACCCTGAGACTGTGAAATCAATGAAGGATTTCTTCACATGAGGGAGCAAGCTTGGCCGACCACTGGGATGTGGTGAGCAGGGGCTATGGCAGGGAAGGTAGAAGGAAATCTAGAAGGAGCAGTCAATAAGAAAGTCCTCTAATCTGACCTAAGTGTCAATATGGGATTGTGAAATGCATTGACTATGTCAAAAATATTCTGGATGAGACAAAATAAGATCATTCGAGTACTATTTAAAATCACGATGCCTAGAAGAACAGTGCCAGAGGCCTGTGCCCTTTCCATACAGGTGGTTCCAACTTACAGTGGTTCAATATAGGATTTCTCAGCTTCATATGGGTGTTAAAGCAGACCTACGCAACCATCCTGCTTTTCACTTGCAGGATGATATGCAATACATTATGTGAGATATTCAATACTTTGTGTTACCTGAGTTTGCACAGCTCTGAGACAATGTAGGTGTTTCGAGCATGTTTAAATTAGGCTAGGCTAAACTATGATGTTCAGTAGCTTAGTTGCATTAAAAGGATTTTTCAACTTGCAGTGTTTTCAAGTTAGGAAGGTTTTAGGGGAACATAGGCAGCCTCCTTCTACGTCAAGGAGCCTATCTGGACTGGAAATATGATAGAACTCACCGGAACATCCTTTCCACTTCCAGATCTGGGAGCTAAAAACTCCCTGGCTTGGCAGCTTCACTACCCTTGACATGAAATTAAATGCCAGGGACAAATATGGTCTTCCAGGGTTAAAGAAATGAACACAATTCTTGACCATTTGATTCCCACGCTCCTTTTTGTTTCTCACTGCATTTACATTTATGATTGTTACCAACACCAACACTTTTGCATCTGGAAGAGATCTGGGAGATCCGGCAGTCAAAACCGCTGGGACCTGTGTCCTCATCTGTAAGTTGAGGAGGTGTCACGGCCCACCCAAAGTCATCCCAATCTATAGCTAGGCCAGCCCCAGGACGTCTAAACCCACATCTGGCTCTTTTTCTTTATAACTTTTTTTTTAAAAAATGTATTTATTTCATTGACAGAGAGAGAAGGACAGAGACAGAGGAGAGAGAGACAGAGACAGACAGAGACAGACAGAGAGGGACCTTCCATCTGCTGGTTCATTCCCCAAATAGCCATGACAGCCAGGACTGGGACAGGCTGAAGCCAGGAACTTCTTCCAGATCTCCCACATGGGTGCACAGGCCAAGCACTTGGACCATCTTCTACTGCCCTCCCAGGCACATCCTCAGGGAGCTAGATTGGAAGTGGAGCAGCCAGGACTTGAAACAGTGCCTAAAGGGGTGCTGGTGTCACAGGCAACAGCTTACCCTGCTATACCACAGTGCTGGCCCATCAATCCTCTTTCTACTATAGCAACTCTTCTATGTGTGCTTCAAATACCAACTAACATCATTTTTCAGGAAAAGGAGGGGTAGCTAGCTATCTGCCCTATGTGACAACAGGGCTCCAGTCACTGGTGATCTGCTTGAAATGGGAGAAACAGGAAAGGAGAAAGCAGCCTGGCTGGGGCAGTGCTTTTGGCCATTGTCTTCCCCATTTGATCTTATACATAATAGTAATGAGGCCATGAAGACAGCCCTTAACAGTTACAGGTCACAGACAACACATTCTAAGCATTTCGTAAGCTTGAATGTCTTTGATTTTCAAACATCCCTTGGTGGAGGGATGACTGTTATCTCTGTTTTACAGATTAGGAAACTGAAGCACAGACTTGATTGCGTGGCCTGCCCAAGGCTTCACAGCTAAGAGTGACAGAGACAAATCTACAGTTTGGCACCAGAGTCTAAGGTCTTAATCACCCCTACGTTCAAGAGATGATGTGGGTCTAAAAGGGCTGTTGAAAGTGCGAGTACCTCAGGAGTTAAAGCTGAATTCTTTTTTCAATTTAATTTATTTTCTTAATTGACAATTAATAACTATATAGGAGCAGGCATTTGGTGTAGCTATTAAACACTCCTTGAGATGCCCATCTCCCATACTGGTGTATCTGGGTTTGCATCTCAGTCTGCTCCCAATGCTAATGTGCACCCCAGGAGGCAGCAGGTGATGGCTCACGTATGCAGGCCTGTCATCCATGTGGGAGACCCGGACTGAGTTTCCAGCTCCTGGCTTTGGTCTGGCCCAGCCCAGCTGTGACAGGCATTTGGGAGAGTACATCAGCAGATAGCTAGATCTCTTCCTCTTTGGCTGTTTCTTTGTCTTGTTACTTTTCAAATGATAAAAAAAGAAAAATTATATATATATGTGTATATATATGTGTGTGTGTGTGTGTATATGTGTGTGTGATATACAGCTTAATGTTTTGAAATCTGTATACACTATGGAATAGCTAAATCACACTAATTAATATATAGTTCCTCAGTTCCTCACATACTTACCATTTCGAGGGATAAGTACACTTAATTCTACTCTAGTAGCAATGTCCAAGTATACAATACAGTGTTAGTAACTATAGTCCCCATGATGTACTATAGATCTCTTGAACTTACTCCTCCTGCCTAACTTAAATCTTGTACCCGCTGATCAACATCCCCCATCTCCTCCACCTTCAGGCCCTGGTACCCACTACCTTTCTCACTTTCTGCTTCAATGAGGTTGACTTTAAAAATTTCCACACATAAGTGAGATCATGCAGGATTTGTCTTTCTGAGCCTGGCTTATTTTACTGAATGTAATATCTTTCAGTGTCAGCCAAGTAAGGCTAATGAAGGAAATGAGGCAAGAGTCTGGGGTGTCCCTGCTGACCTGGAGACACACCCCCCCTACTGGAGGAGGCAGAGCACTGAAGCTCTAGCTGACACTGCTTGGCAAGCACCACTGGCCCTGCCTCTGTCGTGCCCACCTGGCCAAGCCCCAGCTTACTGTGCACCTGCACCCGAGCACTTAGTGCTGCTGACGAACGCACACTCCTGCACTTCACATGCATGGTGGCTGTGGACGCTGGAGGTCTTTTCACACTCCTGGGACTACTGCATTCTCCTGGTGCTCCCTTCCCACTCTCCAGAGCCATGCCCTCTGCTCGACTTTCCACATATTCCTGTTCATCACATCCTCTCCACAAGCAGCCTTCAGGTGGCAAGGACCTTGCCTCGCACATCATCGGGAAGACCAGCTCTGGGTCCTGCAAGGCTGGCCTTGAGGCTCCCTTTGTCCTCCGCTTTCTGGCGTGTCTGGCCAATGCGGGGAGCCAGCAGGAGACTGGATAGTGGGAAGAGATGATTTCACCACATTTACTCCTGGACTCGCTCCCTGCCAGGTCATGAAATGACAGAGCCATGCAAGACACAGCTCTTGCCGGGCTCCCTTCCATCATTACAACTTCTCTCTCCAGCTCCTGACAGCCCTCCTTCCCTGGGACCCTGCAAATATGGGTTGGGGGGGGGCTCCGCTGTGTTGCTAGGTCTGGGGTGCCTGACCATGCCTTGTTGGCTTTCCTGAACTTATTGCCCACGACTTTACGGTTGGCCTCTTCCTAAAACTCCGCTTCTTTCCTGCATTGAAACGTGTCCCCTGTTTCTTACAAGGACCCTCACAGATGCCAGACATTTACATCTCTAACTCTGATCTTTCCCTGGAACTCCGGACACTTAGATCCCACTGCCTCTATGATATCTCCAAGTGTGTGTTCAGTACCTATCTCCAAATTACCAGAGCCCAAGCAGAATCTCAACTCCTCGCCACCCAAAACTTACTTCTTCCCTAGCTCTCCCCATGCAGCCATCACCCTCCAGCCTGCTTACGGCTCAAGTCAAGGCTTCACCCTAGACACTTTCCCCACTTCTTCTACGCAGCCCATTGCATATACATAATGTATGGATATCCTGAAGGAGACCTTCCACTTCCGTCCACCAGTCAGTCCATGATCCCTCATCTCTCTCACAAGCCATGCAACAGGCTCTGCGCCTCTTGCTCCATTGCATCCCGGGCTCTGAAGACTTTTCACTAATACAAATTAGACCATGGGACTCTCGGCTTAAAACCATCAATAACTTCCATTTGGTAACAAATATCAAGCTCTTTATGAAGTGGTACAGGGAGCAGCTTTTTCCCCTAATCTCTTCTCTTACCCCTTGCCCATTTCCCCTCCTCTACTCCCTTAGTCACACATTCTTTTGTGGGTCCCTGAATAGAACAGACTTCTCGACCGTCCTCCACGTGGGGGTCCTTTCCCCTCATCTCTCTCTCTCTCTGTTCAAATGCCACTTGCTCAGAGCAGTCTCACTTGTATGCCCATCTAAGTCAGGGATTCAGTGGCACTGCTTCTTCTGCCAGGAATTTAAAAGAGCCCGTGATTCTCTTCTCCATAGCACATGAGCCCCCGGCTTCCCCCGCATTGCTCACCAGTGTTTGTCCGGCACCTGGTGAGTATGGAGCTTCCTGAAGAGTGAGCGACCTACAGACAACTGCAGGAATGAATGAATGTGATCATGCTGCCCAGGGGTGTTGGGTCCGCTGATTTTTCAGGGAAAACAAGTAAAAAGGATTTTCATATAAAAGTCCACCTTGTCACTTTGGCAACTTATTTATTTATTTATTTATTTATTTTTTGACAGGCAGAGTGGACAATGAGAGAGAGAGACAGAGAGAAAGGTCTTCCTTTGCCGTTGGTTCACCCTCCAATGGCCGCCGTGGCTGGCGCGCTGCAGCCGGCCCACCACACTGATCTGATGGCAGGAGCCAGGTGCTTCTCCTGGTCTCCCATGGGGTGCAGGGCCCAAGCACTTGGGCCATCCTCCACTGCCTTCCCAGTCCACAGCAGAGAGCTGGCCTGGAAGAGGGGCAACCGGGACAGAATCCGGTGCCCCGACTGGGGCTAGAACCCGGTGTGCCGGCGCCACTAGGTGGAGGATTAGCCTAGTGAGCTGCAGCGCTGGCCTTATTTATTTATTTTTAAATTATGACTCAAAAGAACTCTAGCTGCAAGCCAGAGCAGGCAGTGATCTACCATTTTGTGACTTCTACAGCAAAGACCATGTTCTAATGCTATTTAAAAAGGAAAATACTGGAGCCGGAGCCGTGGCTCACTTGGTTAATCCTCCACCTGCGGCGCTGGCATCCCATATGGGCACCGGGTTCTAGTCCTGGTTGCCCCTCTTCCAGTCCAGCTCTCTGCTGTGGCCCGGGAGGGCAGTGGAGGATGGCCCAAGTGTTTGAGCCCCTGCACCCGCATGGGAGACCAGGAGGAAGCTCCTGGCTCCTGGCTTCAGATCGGCACAGCACCAGCCGTAGCAGCCATTTGGGAGGTGAAACAATGGAAGGAAGACCTTTCTCTGTCTCTCTCTCTATCTATATCTCTACCTGTCATATAAAAAAAAAAAGGAAAATACTGGGGCTGCTGCCATTGTGGTGCCACCTGGAACTCCAGCATCCCGTATCAGAGCACTGGTTCTAGTCCCCACTCCATTTCTGATCCAGCCCCCAGCTAATGTGCAGCAGAGGATGGCGGAAGTGCTTGGGCCTCTGCTGCCCATGTGGGAGACCTGGATGGGCCACCAGGCTCCTGGCTTGAGTTTGAACTAGCCTGCCCATTGTAGTCATTTGAGAAGTGAACCAGCAGATGGAAAATCTAAAACACACACTCGCTCTCTCCCTCCTTCTCTCCCTCTATCACTGCCTTTTTAATAAATAAATATCTTTAAAAAAAAGAAAAAGAAGAATATTCAGTGGCAAGAGTAGAGAGCAAGTCCCCAAATGCCCAGCCCAAAATGGCCTTTCAAGGCTGGCATTGGATGGCTTTAGTCCTTTCTCTAAAGCCCCGCATCTGGAAGCTTCTGAGCCCGAATTCATTAACTCCTTTTGTTGCTGTTTGCAGCAGAGGGTGCAGACTCCACACTAGATCATCATAATCTACTTTTCCATTTTTACAAAACTTGTTTAGTTTCATTCAAATCTCCAATGTCCTTTCTGTGGTTTTCGGCAGTCTTCATCTATTTGAAATCCCTTAACTGACAGCATTTGCTCTGACACATCACACACCATGGAAAATTACCGGCTGGTGTTGGAGCTGATTGTGTCAGCATGTATTTGTGAATACCATAAAGCACTGAAATGAGACATAGTGCACTCCCTAATATAGGAGGTAATTTGTTTTTTGGACTGCTTGGTATTTGTGACATTCATTAGTGAGAGATGCAATAGGAAATAGAATTACACAAATGGGAGCTTCATGTTATATTTGCTATCTGGGAGGTACACATGATGTATGGGGCTGCTGTGCTCCCCGGCCTCCTATACTTGGCATCGAGATGCTGTTTTGAGCTTTTGTGACTCTCGGAACGAGAGCACAACTTTGCCTTCCAGAAGACCTGGGCAGGAGGCAGTGTTCAGCCCCCACGCTCCCCACTTTACCTTCCAAGTGAATGTCGTTCTCAGGATACTCCTGAAGAAGAGCGAGGCTTTCCCAGGTACTGAATAGGAAGTGTTTCTCTCCAGCCATCAAATAATGGCGCCTTCCCCCCCATTTGCAGATATAAACTTGCAATTAGAGAGCTCAGTTTTTCCTTCTGTTTTTTTCTCCCCCACCCCATGTTTCTATTTTCCTGAAAGCTTTTGTCTCTAGCACTGTTGGCTTACTCAACTGGGAGAGGAGAGAGAAAACACAAGCATCCACAAACAACTTCACTCTGTTCTTAGCATGTCAAGCTCACTCTTCAGAAAATAATGAAGGTCCTGGAACCAGTCTTCCTGACCTCAAATTCTAGCTTTACTTCTCATCAGTAGAAGGATTTGCAGCAAGTTAGTTAATCGATCTAAGCCATGGTTTCTTCCTATGTAAAGCAGTAAACAACAATAGTACCTATCACATAGGGCGGTCATGAGGATGACATGAACTCATAAATACCAAGCACCTAGCACCTAGATGGGTGCTGGTGCATAGTCAGCCCTAAAAAAAAAATGTGGGAGTCATTCAATTTAGTAGAAAGAGTTGGTTTTAGAAAAAGAAAAATTAGTTCCAATTGGAACTCTGACACTTATTTATGTGCTATGTGGCTGTAAAGAATTGATTGATGTTTTACCGATGAGGAAACCAAGGCCCTGGGTGTTTAGCAAGGTTGCCTTCCAAGGTTATTTTGAGGAATTTTAATAAGGAATGTGACTCACCTATCATAGGCTTCTCTCTAATGAGGAGCTCATTAAATGAAGACAATAGGTTCATACAGATAATTACAGATGTTCACAACTCACAATTCACTTAAAATGTTTCTCATAGAATAATAAGAATACATGTTGTTCTGCAGTGAGCCCTATGATTCCTAGGCTGCTTAAACTTAAGGATAGGTTTAAGGATACTAATAAAAAGGGTATGATGAAACACTGGGGCCAGTGAAAGCCTGGACTGACCCTACCGGGATTAACAGTTGAAGCTGCCACTTATCTGCAAAGCCACAAATAGAAATACAGTCAGGAAGATATTTCATCTGAACTCTCCAAACCTTTTGAAATCCCATTTGCAGTAGAAAGTTGATCATTCTCAAGTAAACTTGTCCAGATCATATTAAACAAAGACTGCTAGACAAGGAGCCAGTTGTCTTGTTCTGGATCATCAGGAGTCAGAAAGAGGAAAAGACATTCTGTCTAGCAGTTAAGACACGAGTTAGGACACCCACTTCCCACATCAGAGTACCCGGGTTTAAGTCCTGGCTCCATTTCTGACTCCAAATTCTTTCTAATGCAGACCGTGGGAGACAGTGTGATGGCTCATGTGCTTGGGTTCCTGTCCATGCAGGAGACCTGGATTACGTTCCCAACTCCCAGCTTCAGCCTGGCCTAGCTTTGGCTGACCTAGTCATTCGTGGTGTGAATTAGCAAATGGAAATTTTCTCCATCTCCCTCTCCCTCTCTCTCCCCCTCCCATCTCTATCTCAAATAAATAAAAAAGAAATTTTAAGAATCAGAATGACCTGGAGCAGCCTATCAGTTCCTATCCATGGGCCTCAGTTTTCCACCTTGTGAAATGAAGGAGCAGGTAACTGGGCTTCCCACTTTTAAAACGGTATTATTCTAATTCAACAACATGAAATTCACTATTGAAAGGGAGTCCATGGAGGCACTGAAAAGCACACTTGATTTTTAGATATACAAGAATCATATCTGCAAGCCAAACTGGTTGAATGTACCACCATGTCATGATTCCTGTATTAAAGACTATATGCCAAGGTTATTTAAAAAGGAAAATATTCGATGGCAAGGAATAAAGAACAAATCCCCCAATGCTCATCTCAAAATGACCTTTTGAAGACTGAAATTTGCTGGTTTTACTCCTCTTTTTCTAAAACATTGCATCTGACAGCTCCTATTATCTAGAACTCATCTGGAAGTTTTCAGTATTCAGGGCTAGATCCCCGTGCACATGGAAGCATGCTCCCTTCAGCAGGTCAAGATGTCCATGACTGGGCCAGAAACAAAGGCAAATGAAAATAAATGCTTACCTTTTAACTTCTTTGGCATCACTTGCGATGAAAAATCCTAACGTGCCTTCTTGGATCTTAAGATGATTTCCAGGGTTAATTAATATACTGCTCAATGAACAAAAACAAACAAAGAAGACACACATGTGAGGCCATGTTCAAATACAACCTTGAAGGCTATACCTATTGCTGTTTCTATAGGGGGCCCACTAGTCTAATGCTTTCCCCTAAGATTTTTGTCTCGAGCTTGATGTACGTTGGCCCACACGTTTAGTTGGATGAGGCCATCATTAAGCTCTATGCTTGATTTCCCAGGTTGGTACACTCCTAGTTGAGGAAACCAAAGCATATCTAGGTTTGACAAGGGCCTGGGTTTGTATAAGGGACAGTCTTGCTGCCATCAAGGGCATCTGACTTGAAGCAACTTTCCTCTGTATCCTTTGAAAGTGCTTTCGATGGCTAATGTTGAAGCATGATTGGTTTAATAAAGCCCTTGCTGCACCAATGTTCCATTAGAAGACAGAGTATTAATGGGACCCCTATATGCATTCAGAAACATACACGAATACACACCACATATTACTACGGGGAATGGTACACGACACCCATCACCAATTCAGAAGCAAAGCAAACGTGTTGATAGCAATGATAGGACAAGGCAGTAGAGGCTGTGTGCACCCTAGGTATTGGATCTGCCTCATCAGCAGGGCAGAAAACTGTCAGCCTTTGGACATCTTCAGTGATTCCAGCATGCCACTGTACAGGGTATTTGAATAAGAGGCATGTGCAGCATGTCCTAACTGGGACAAACTGTAGTTAGAAAACAAATCCTTGCCCTCTAGGGAAGTGTGAGCCTGAATAGACACTGTCCTGCTTCGCAGCAGTAAAATAGAATAGCTGACCAAGTTGTGTTCAGACTGACAGAAGAGATAAATATATCCTATCCTAATAAATGAATGAAACAAACAAGTTTAATCCCATGCAGATCAAAAGCAGGATACAAGAATGTCCTACAAAGGGGCTGAAATGAGGCTTTGGATGTAATGGGTCCTGAATTTGGGGACTCTAAATTGAAGCAATACACAACAAAAGTATTCTTTGATCTGAAAGCTGCCGTTTAACATAGTAGATATTTGGAACCAGACTAAAGGAAGGCTTTGGCTGTCCAAAACAATCAAAATGGAAGAGGATAATTAACATGTAACCTTTACTGCCAGTAAAACCACTCCAGGAAAGTGCTGTGGCCAACACAGCGATATGGCCATAGCAAAACAGGTGAACTTGTGTTCTGCTGAGAGAGCTCAGGGCAGATCATTATGGCAAAATAATTGTCTGAGGTCACAAGAACATCCACCATTATCTACAGCAAGACCCAACACAAGGAAACCAAGCCTGTTTCATCACTGTTGTTAACACGAAATAATAGCAAGAGCCTATGATGCTTAGTTCTGTCCCCGAACTACAGGCAGCAGTGAGATTCCACCCAACTCAGAAAGCAGCAGGACACACTAATAGCACACCTCATGCAGGCGCCTCCTAATTACCCATCACAGACTCTTCATGTGGGCATCATAAGCTCTCTGACTTCACAAGCTCAAGCCAGGAAAGGCTCACAGCACCTACAGAACTCACGGATCTCGTTCTCAAAGCCAATTAAAGATGATGCTTCAGAATGGCAGAATTCTGGATTTTGCACATTTTCATATTTCCCTTCCTTCTAGGCAGTTCTTAGATGCCCTGGCTCTACAATCAGAAATTGCTTCCCAATGCCAGCACTGCGACTCAGCAGCCCTGTGACTTTGGACAAGAACTCAGTGTTCTCCCCCTGCAAGTTGGGGACAATGACGACAGCCTTGCTTCAGGGAATGCAGTGAGAGCATGTGCAGAAGGTGCCCTGGATGCTGGTCATCGCTACTTCCACGTTTCTAATTCAATCTATCTCATTTCCTACAAAAAGGCCCCAGATATTTCATTTTCAGTAAGATTATCATAGAATGTCTTTAGATGGCAAGGTGGAATGGAACTTAAGGCTTCTTATCAAAATGCCCTGCCCATAATGAGATGAAGTTACAGGACGAAGACCTGTACCTTCCAAAATAATCTACAAGGTCATCCATCAAAGATTTCATGTACTTCTGGAGCCTACAGGAGTTAGTTCTCTAAAGTTGGAAAAGTCTACCTTTTGATATGTTTTTATTTCAAAATGTAAGAAAAGCTTCTGAGTGAAAAACAATGCTATAATGATCTGAATAACGTAATTCAAGAGGGGAAATTGACTTGCATCAACTTGGTGACATATATTCATTTTATAATAAGCCCCACATAGAACTCTACTTCCTTTTTTCTCGTTGTGGACCTCATTAATTGTACACCATCAATCAAGCCTACTAGGTCATTTTGAAATGTGGTGATGGCAAGTCTCCTCTCAATGGAAGGTTTATTTTCATTTCCTCTGTTTGTTATGTACTGTGGACAAGACTTGGTCTACAGTGACAGTGTGGGACTAGCACTCTAGAAAATTCTAGGCAATCTATCATAGCTCTTGGATTTCTTTTAATGAGGCAGAGAGGAAAGAGACTGACACTGACGGTGATGCAACACTCAGGCAGAGGAATCAGGCCTCCCCAGTTTAGGTCCTGGCTGTGGGCATGTGGATACAGCTAAGCCTCACTCTCCTCATCTGTAACATGGGGCAAAAAATCACTAGTTTAGAGTGTGTCTAAGGCACTGAGTGTCACAAAGTAGGTCCTTCTGACACAGTTGCTGTTCATGGTGAGCCAGGTGGTTGTAAAACTAAATGGGATGTACATCTGACAGCAATACAGCTCTGCATTTTGTTCTTGGTGCTGATCAACTGCCCAGAAGGTGCCGTACCATTCTACCATTCTGGAAGGACCCTTCCCCTGACTGCAGCATCCAGTGCATTTTGTGCCTGCATACCACCTGAAGGTGGGCTCGTCAGGCTGCTCAGAGGACATCTCGTGCTCCTTTACTGTCGTGGCTGATTGGGTAAGAAGCCAAAAACGCCCCCAGTGACCTCACTGACTGCCCTCTTACTCTCTGTGGATGTGGGTGGGGCAGTTTAAATCTCCTCTGTGTGAGCTGTGAGGCAGCAACGATATTGAGATAAGGCTAAGGAGTCTTCCTGGTGGGAACCCAAAGAACGAACCCAACCCTTGAGAGCCATGAAAGAAAGGAAGCTGGACACATAAAGATGCTCACTGTGCTGTTTTTGGCTCATAGAGTTGGGCTTGGTGAAGTACAACCTCCTGGTTCTAACAGACCATGGCACAGAATACAATCTACATGAGGGTGCAGTGCTTCTCAGACACTCTGGGGTGATACATCAATTTTTTTTTATCTTTGATAATTCAGACGTTAGCTCTTCTATCTACATTCCAAAAGCTAAAGTGCTAATCCTCCTCTTCCTGAAAAATGCAAAAACAGCATTCTAGACATAAATAACTTTATTTTTCTTTCTCCTACAAAATGAAACTAACCCCTAGAATTTGTTATAGGCCTCTGAAAGTGAGTACATAAATTTTTTCCAAGGATCTTTTTGATCTCTGTAGGAGACTATCCAATGTCAAGTTTGTTTTGTTCTTGTGATTGCTAAAAGTCTCCCTTCCTGTGTGCTTTTGATTTAGAGTGGGTCCAAGTTTCTCTAATTCACTAGCTTTTACATCAGAGATAATCCAAGATGTGTCATGTGAAGAACCAAGAAAGGCTCTAAGAAAAAAAAAGCCCATTTATCCATTAGCAGAATTCCAGTGAGGACATCTTCTTGGCTGGGGTGGCCATTCCCTCACTTATGGAACATATAAATGACCCTCTTTCTTCAGAGACCTTGCTGATTTCTACTGAAAACATCCAGTGACAGCTGGGAGCACCACAGGGGTGTGGTTCTTTACCCCTTTTCTCTTTGGATCACACACTAGCTCTACTTACAGGCTTGTTCGCTGTCTACTCACCAACTATATTGAGCAAGCACATATTTTCAGGATAGAACCCATATTTGAGTAGGGAAGTGAAAAACATGATCACATGCTATTTACCTTCGGGCTTTTAAAACCAGAAATCTTAGAATCCTGCATGCAATAAGCACTTTTCAACTGTTTGTTGAATGGATGATAAATATAAGTCATTGATCTCAGTTCCAAAAGCTCTGCTTTTGCCCTCTAGTAAGGGAAAAGGCAGTCATCCACCACTGTTCTTTCAAAAACCAAACTGTGATTCTCATCAGTCAGGCTGACCGAAGTAGTGACCACATCCTTCCAGCAGGTTGACCCATAAGCCAATGGTGCCCCAGTGGTATTAAGTATAAATATGTATATCTAAGCAGCCAGCCTCTTTTAGAATTGGAGTAATGGATTTCAATATTGAAAACATAACTCACTTGCAGCTGAAATATGTATTTCTTTTTTTCTTTTTATTTTTTGACAGGCAGAGTGGACAGTGAGAGAGGGAGAGAGACAGAGAGAAAGGTCTTCCTTTGCCGTTGGTTCACCCTCCAATGGCCGCCACGGCCGGCGCGCTGCAGCCAGCGCACCGCGCTGATCCGAAGGCAGGAGCCAGGTGCTTCCTTCTGGTCTCCCATGGGGTGCAGGGCCCAAGCACTTGGGCCATCCTCCACTGCACTCCCGGGCCACAGCAGAGAGCTGGCCTGGAAGAGGGGCAACTGGGACAGAATCCGGCGCCCCGACCGGGACTAGAACCCGGTGTGCCGGGGCCGCAAGTCGGAGGATTAGCCTAGTGAGCCGCAGCGCCGGCGAACTATGTGTTTCAAAAACATGAAATGCATCCAATGGAACTGGCTAGCAGGGCTCAGTCCCACACGGAAATGTCTGATCAGGTCCCTCTGTGACGGGAGCACTGATTCTTAAGCTTCCTGGCACACATGGAGAATCTCCTGTTTCCCTTTGTTCACGTGTGCATCGCAACTGGGGAACACTTAGTGATCTTACTTCAATCACTGTAAATTTTACCTGTTAACTATTTGCAGGGATTACCAATGATCGGTAATTTGATTGAAACATACTGTTTTAAAGGAAACAGTATCCATGATGGTGAATGCAATAAATAGTATATGAATTGTTCTCCTCTCTTCTATTTTTGGTAGGTGTCATGTACCATTGCTCAGACTATTAAAGAAACATGATGACTCATACAAGAATATAGTTTCTGCTTAGTAACATGGTAATTATATTTGTGTCTAGTAAGCTAATGGGACTTCATTAACTAGAGCAACAATTAAGAACCACCTAGGACCTCAGTTCATAGAGCCATGCCTCTCAGAAGAGGACTCTTTAATCACACAAGTTCATATACAATTGCTATCACTAGGGGCTTTGAACCAATTGTGTCCCCTCTTGGGGACTATGACCACACTGCCATTTGTGAGCTGGGTGGGAACACCCCAAATCTCAAATTTTATTATCCGTCTGAAACTTTTCCTTTCTTGTAGGCTTTCACATATATACTGCTGGAGTCCCACACACCTAGACACACACTTTCAGTTGAGGATATATGCAGGAGACCCAGTTGCACATTACATGCTTCAATATACATGAGCCAAATCCACTTAAAAGAGACAGCTTAAGAAAGGTTGCTCCCAGTTGGTCAGATTCAAATGACCACCATCACTGTTGCCCATCAGTGATAAGGGCAATGGCTTGTTTAGCCTGAATCCATCTCGATAATTGTAGAAATGGCATTTTAAAATATATCATACATGTATGAAAAATTTTAGCCACTTGGGGTTGGGAAGTCAGAGTTGATTTAAAGAAGGCAAAGGCTGGGAGCAAGCCATGTCATTCTCTGGGACACTTTGGGTCAAATCATGCCTACATCACAACATGCCTTCAACCACAAGATAGAGATACTCAAAGGCCAAAAGCCAGCAAGCAGAGGTGCAACCACTGTGGACCTTGGAAGATGCAAAGTGTTGCAGTAACTTCTCGCAGTTGGATCATTTCAATAATACCAAACTGACAGGAAGCCACCTCTCTTTGTACACATCTACTCAAGAAATCACAGATGATCTGACTTTGGAAAGAGTTCCAGACACACACACACACACACACACACACAGAGTTACAAACACAAACACGTGACAGTGATTACAACCACAGAAAAAAAGCAACTCTTGAAAAGAACAAGGAGGCATCTAAATAGTGTGTTTTCAACGACACTGTCTTATAGAATATATTATTGAAAAACTATGCCAGAAATATTAACCCAAAAAGTTAAAAAGAAATTAAAACCACTGACAATGGTTTAGTCATGCTTCATGCAACACAAAACAACAGCAAAACAGGGCGGGGTCACGTGGTGAAAGTTGAGAGACTTTCTATGAAGAAATATGCCCAAACACACTAGGGAAGAACAGTCACGAGTTTGTCCCAATAAACAGTACTCATTCAGCAAGCCAAGTGTGATCACCTGGCAATTTAGTAGCAGTGTTGTAAGTCTTACTGAGCACTGCCCAAGAAATAAAATACTTCAAATGAGATCAGTAAAAATAAGTGTAAGGAAAAACAGAAGTGTAAGGGCTTGGTCTCTGTTTTGTGGATAAAAGGACATGAACTCTGCTCAACCCAAGGAGGAAGGAGTGACTGGGAACATGGGTGTGGGATGCAGACAATATGGCATCAGAGTCCAGGGGACACCAAGACACATCAGGACGGCACAGAAACAGACACAAAGGGCTGGAGGGACGCATCCTCCTTTTCAGCTTTGATGGTGTTTGTTCCCACATTGGTGCCATGACTGAAAACAGGATCGTGCCTTCCCCCTGTTTCTTTAGGTTTCCTGCAAAGAAGTTAGTGCGTCGTTCTAGAGAACCCACAAGTCAAACAAGAACAGCAATAGACTACGTTCACTTTTCTGTACTCCACTTGGATGGAGGTGTACATATATGTATATAATTTACATATTATATACATATATACACACTAGACAAGGGCTGAGATTATATACAGGTAGATATATAATCTCTCTCTTCTTGAGTTCGTGGCAAATGGTTAGTCCTGTGGTTAGGAGTGAAGAGAGAGGATGGAGGCAGGAAGGAAAGTTAACGGCGAGGGCATACCGCTTTCTGCTTCTGCAAAACGACAAGAAAAGAATTGAAAATCAAACAATTCGATAATAAATTCACTGACACCAGAAGGAAAGAAGGAGTAAAAACCTTTGTTTCAAGTCATTTGAAGGAGGCATGTGAAAACAAGGTTTTCAGCAAGGCATGAAAACAATACTATGGGGGCAATCCAACAGCAGAAGAGGGAGCTAAACACAGGTCGAGGCAAGGGTCCACCAGGGAAGGGGATGGGAAAGGAAATGAGACATTTTTCAATGAAGAAAGGTATTCACATCATTATTTCGGGAAGGACCAAATAATCACATTATCTTTCACATGGTACTTCTGTTTGGGAATCCCTGTGTTTGCTTATGGGCATGATCTGCATTCCCTCAAATACACTTTTTTCCACAAGAACCAGTGTGCTTCCACACTTGAGACCAAGCCACATTTGAGAACTACAGCTGGCCAATGCACAAGAAAGCCAAAAAAAAAAAAAAAAAAAAGGCCAAAAAATATCTTTTTGCCCTTTTAAAAAATATATACCAAACTCTCTATGTCTACAAATTTGACTTTGTTGAAAACATCTCAGATTCAGGAATCAGAGGATCCAGCATTACAAAAAGAAAAAGAAAAAAAAAAGGCTTTGTCTTCAATGAGAGCTCTAGGTTCATTTTCTCAGATGGATGCTGAGCCGAGAACAGCTGCTCGTTCTCCAGAAGTGTTAGTTCAAAGATAGGGGTGCAGTCTCCTGCCTTGAAATTATTCCAGTGTGGTCAAAAAACACAGTTTAGCATCAGCATCATTTGCATCATGACACTTTTTTGAAGAGATACACAAAGGCGGTAAAGAACACTGAACCACTGCAAGATTGACTAATCTGGCAACACGAAGATTATCATTTGCAAAAATGCAGGAGACACCATTCCCCTACACAGGTGCACTGAGAATCGGCACAAACGTGGGCTAACGGTAATCCCAGAAAAGTCCACTTCATCTGTTGAACAGCAAATAGCCAGGACTCTCACGATGTCTTGCAAATGATATTCTTCACTTTGCCAACACAAGAAAGAGCAACGCGTATCCATATATGTATCTGTTCACAGCCATGGTCACGTTCTACATGTCACCAAATCTACCATTTAGTTTTCCATGTGGTGGATTTGGATTTTTTGAAATAGCTTAACCTTTTGATCAGATTGGCTTTATGAGCAATCTGATCTGGTAGTTAAGGCAACAGAAAACATTGGATTGACTTGCTTCCAATCCAGCGTTGTTGTAGTCGGTCAGAGACACAGGCTGTACATTTGGAAGTCTGGCTTGATTCATTCACCCAGACCATGAAAAACCCTTAAATGATGAGAGCAGGAGGCCTCTAGTCCTGCCCTGCACCGTGCTGTGATTTAGGCGTGTGCTGGAGGGGGTGCTGCACTCAGTACTTGCACATCTGCGGGAACCAATGATTCACTATAGAAGGAACAAACGATGGACGCCACTTCAGAGGACAAAAGCGTGAACCTCTTTCAAGGAGCTCCCTTTCATCCAAAACTGTTGATAAGGACTGGGGAGCAAAGATCACCCTGGTTTTTATATGACACACGCAGTACCCCCTCGACAGAATTCGTTCTTCATGTGCAGCTCCCCTCTTCCAGAGGTGAACTCATATATTGACTGGGGTGTTATCTATTCCACCAGACCCAGTCCCCCAGCAGTCTGATCTGCACGTAATTAAGTGCAAAATAAATAAATAAATAAATGGAGAGCTCCTGCCTCAGAGCCCTGCTCTCCTGGCTAATTTGCACTGCAGCTGATATTCCGCCACCCGGATTTCGGCTGCACCAGGAGAAGCACATATGGTGCACGATAGGCTGCGTGTAATTTGGCTATCAGGAGAGCCGGTGTCTCCCATCACGGCTGTACCGCAGGCCTTCTGGAAACAAGGCCGTAGCCCACCTGCTTTTTGTTCACAGCAGTAATGCAGGGTTTTCGGATGAGGTCTGTGCCCCGTTTGACACTTAGAGGGTGGCATGGGTGGGTGGAGACACTTGGATGGCTCAGCTCTCTCTTCTGGGAAAATCCTCTCAAAAGCCCAGGGGGCTTGAGACACCAGGCTGGTCTGGGATAGAAGCTGCAGCATTGGGCAGAGCAAGCCTTCTAGGGTGGGACAGGTGTTTTTGCACTGTGTTCCAAGCCAGAATGTGCCAGAAAGAAGTGGACCGAACATTCTCTGAGCCCACTCTCACACCATAAACCTCAGCTGGACACTGGGTGGGTCGCACCAACTTACCGGCTCTCTCGGTTGGCAGACTTGTACTCAATGGCTATCATAAGGAGCTTGAGCTTCACAAAACACAGCCTGCAACGAGACAGAAAGGCCTCCCAGTCACTGCTTCTGAACACCTAGTCACACAACAAACCCTCTTATGGCCTCTCCATCTCCTAATGCAGTCGTTATCCAAGGGAGCCCCACTCCGCGGCTGCTATGCCAAAGGCAGGGCTGGGACGACCGCCCCCTGTCTTCCCCATTAAACCTGCTTGCTTGCACGTGAGAAGGTGCTAGATGTTCACAGTGCCAACTGCACTCAGGTCTGGATGTCTAGACACAGGCCCCAAGCAGGGATCTGTGCCTGGGGACTTAGGCTGGGCCAGATTCATTAGTTACTTGGTCAGGTAGTAAAATGCTAACTGCAGGGGGAGGGAGGGATTTGGAGCAGCTGGACCTGCTATTTGGAGTGCATTTCGGTCTTTTGTGCAAATGGCTCATATTGTTGTTGCGAGCAGACCCCTGTGTGCATGGAATGATGGTAATAATACTTAGCCTCTGTGTAAGTGCCCACCGCCTGACAATGGCCTCGTCATTCCTGGCTCCATCCAAGCTGTCTTACCTCGTCTGCCGGGTGCTCCTGACTGTGGGCCAGCTTGTGTGGCCTCCATGCCTACCCTGGGCCGCCTTTTCCCCAGATGCTTTTTCCTCTCCCCTCCCAGGCCACAGCACAGCTACGGCTCCAGGCAGTAGGTCTTCCCCAGCTCAGCCCCCGTAAGAGGCTGAGTTCTCAGGACTAACCGGCGCCGTGTCTGTCATGGCCCTGTGGAGCCCTCAGCCAGCTTTCCACCAGCTGTGCATGTTCCCTACTGTTTGCTGTGTCAAAACTTTTCCTCCTTTACCACAGCAACTTCTTTGAGTTCTGTTGGAGTTTTGGTTCTACTAAACTCACAGGAGGCGCAGTTAAATATTTTTGCCTAAAGATGTTCAGGGTGGTGTTATTTATACACAGTAGGAAAACTGAAAACAACCTAAATGTCCAATAATTAAAAGTGTGGTTAAATAAAGTGTGGTGCAATAGGGTGTCAGCATACAAGATGACTTTTCAAAAAACACTTCAAGATGTAAGGCCAACAAAATAATATATAAAAAGATATAAACACGTAAAAGTAATTTCACAGTTAAATGAAAACATATATACTCCCAGAAATAAATGTTCACATAAACAAAAAGACTTATATATGTTACAGATTCTAATGGTCATTATCATTTGTGTCTTAAGGACTCTCTAAATCATAAAACATTGGTTAGCCAACGGATTGAACACTGAGCTGAAGTCATTGAGTCCCAGCATCGTAAAGGGATGAGGTGAAGGGGCAGGGCCTTTCTGGGTGGTGGTATCTAATCCGCACAACATCCCTAGGATGCTGTTACCCCAGTTATGCAGACTTTTACTAATAGCTCCATTTCATAGGTGATGATACTAAAGCTCTGAAGGCCTATTTCACTCGCCTAGAGTCTCTAGTTAATACCTAGCAGGAGATACGTCGTCTTCTTCAGTCAAGCCTATTTTGCATTGGGAGAGACAAGTAATAAGCAAACGTAAAAGTGGAAAACACTAACTCTCCAGATGATGGCAAGCGCTGGCAGAACAAAACCACCTGTGAGGACAGAGAGTGACTGGGAAGGGGGATTTCCAGGTGATGACCTAGGAGGATCACTCTAAGGATGCAGAGGGCACCCTGGGCATGATGAGACGGTGCAGGCAGTGGGGAGACGGGAGGAAGGAGCTTTCTAGGGAGTAGATAGGGCAAGTGCAAAGGTCCCGCGGTGGAAGGGAGTTCTGAGGGTGTGAGGATGAGCACTAAAGCCAGCAGAGCTGGAGCTGAGGAGCAAAGTTGAGAGTGGCAGTGCGTAGATCAGAGAGTGAGGCAAGAGAAGCAAGGTGATGAGCACTCGGCTTGCCACAGCGAGGGGTCTGCAGTTTATCCCTGAAGAATGGGTGGGCTTCAGTTGCTTTTAAATACAGAAGTGACATAATCCGACGTGCTGGTCATGGAGATGTGTTGTTTCCCAGGAAGATGCTGGTGAAGGGGAAGGAGTCCAACTTGCCGTCCCTACCTGTGAGGTCGTGATGCCCTAGCACTGCCTTCAACACACAGATAGCAAAAGATCACCCAGGCTTATTGGGGTTCTCCCCATGATTTGCAGGTTTTCTGGTGCTTGGCAGCAGAGGCTGATGACCTGAGCTTTGCTGTAGCTTTCTTGCAGCTTGTTGAAACACCAACACACAGATCCAAGTGCAGGTAGGAAAAATGCCCTTCTTACTGTATGTACCAGAGAGCACAGCTAAACCTACCCTGGATGAGACTTACTTCTGGAGCTTAAATTGCTTAAAAAATCAGATAGCTTATGCAATGTTTATTGAACCAAATTATCAGATTAATTAACAGCTTTCTAATGTAAATAGTAGCTAAAAGCCAAAAACTCAAGGAGAAGGTTGGCCTTAAATTATCATGGATTATCCAATGGGCAATTGTGCTGGTATCTCATGAGCAATGACCAATCCAATCTGGGATGGTGGTAGTTCATGGAATCAAAGACTTTGAATGCTCTTTTGGGGATGTAATCCTACTTTGAGAAGGGAAGAAACAGTTCGTAGTCCTGGTGAATTACGCCTTCCTAGCCACTCTGATGCCATTAACCAATTGAATTTAGGAAGAAAGGAACTTCCTATTGCAGGACAGTCAACACGACCCTGTACTTTCCTTAATATTTACGGGGCAGGGAGGGAGGGAACTCAGTCTTCTTCCACTTTTTTTTAATTTAACCTTTTAAATTTTTTTGTACTTATATGAAGGGAACACATTTCATGTCTTTCTTCTTTTTAAACCATTTCAGTATATTTTCATCTTCATTGACACAGAAGAGTTATATATATTTATGGGGTAGAATGCAATACTTTGATAGCATAATGAGACTTCTCACCCTACCCTCTTCTAGTTTTAAACCCATAACTTTGCAACTTCCAAATCCACACTTCGGATGAGTCAGAACTACCTTACAGAGGCTTCATGTTAAAACTTCCTTTGGTCCAAAACAAACTGTAGCTCACGGGCCAAGGTGAGGTGCAATGAGGAGATGGACAGGAGGGAGAAACAAAGTGGATATGGGGAACAGTGACAGGCGTGGGTGTTCCGTCTCAGGCCCTTCCAGACGGGGGGCCTGCCCTTCTTACACATTGACAAACTGAGACCCAAAGGAGAGGAAGCAACTGGCTCGAGTTCAAATGACGTCTTCACAGGCAAGGCAAACGTGAAGATCAAGTCTCGGTGCCTGCACAGTGGGAATGGGGTGCTTACTGCTCAAGCCCACTATGCAGACACAGTCTCTGGTCTAGGCCATGTTTTTAAAAATAGAACCCAGATACCAATAGGTGATGTCACATAAAAACTGCCTGTTCAGCTATCCTTAAAAATCACAGTAGAGGCCAGCGCCGCAGCTCACTAGGCTAATCCTCTGCCTGTGGCACCAGCACCCCGGGTTCTAGTCCCGGTTGGGGCGCCGGATTCTGTCCCAGTTGCTTCTCTTCCAGTCCAGCTCTCTGCTGTGGCCCAGGAAGGCAGTGGAGGATGGCCTAGCCCCTTGGGCCCTGTACCCGCATGGGAGACCAGGAGGAAGCACCTGGCCCCTGGCTTCGGATCAGCACAGTGTGCCGGCTGTAGTGGCCATTTGGGGGGTGAACCAACGGGAGGAAGACCTCTCTCTCCCTCTCTCTCTCTCTCTCTGTCAAAAATAAAAAATCACAGTAGAACCACATCGCATGAGGCTAAGAGGAATGGAAGCTGAAAGCACTCTAGTATATTCTCTACTGGTGCTGTCTCCCTCTGATGGGACAGTCCCCACCACCACCAAGTGGCTCAGGTCTCACTCTTCCCTTTCCATAGCCAAATTCCTGCCCCTCTATAGGCCTCTGAGCCTTACTCCTCACTTTAATGGGTACCCTGTGGATATTGGCAAAACACAAATCTTGAATAATAAGCCACGGCTGAAACCTGAAGCAGAACCGTGGCTCCTCCGTGAGCGCTCAGATTGTACTTCTTTGTAGCATCCTGCCGCTAGGAGCTGGCCAATGTCAGGATCCGAGGCTGAAGGCTGCTGCAGAGGTGCTGCCTCTGCCTGGGGGGGGGGGGGGGGGGGTGTCCAGGGGAAAAGAGCAGCCCAGAGAGTTGACGGGGAGCCTGGGTGGCAGTCACTTGTTTACTCGTCTCTCTTCCCTCTAAGCGCTTCTCCAGCGTGGGATGCAAGCTTGACCTCCTTGGCCTTTTCGCAAAGGAAAAAGAGTAAGTTTTCAATAAAGGCTGTATAAGTGGATGCATGAATGAGCTGGGGGCAGGTTTCCAAGAAGTGTCAGAGAAACCTACATAGAGAAGGCCTGGAAGTGAGTTTCCGATTCTGAAATGAGACGCTTTTAACTTGTCCCATAGGCTAGAAGCAGACAGATCAGAAAAGAAGGATGAAATAGCAATGATACACTCTGGGAGTCTAATTGTTGCCTCTGATCCACTAGGCCATGGTGCAATTCCAGTTCTGAGACGCAGACAAGCAACGTATCCTTGGGATCTTGTAGAGATCCTGTTACAAGGAACATAGTCTCAAGACTATACCTCTCGAATATCCGAAATTTGTATTCTACAGTTAATTACTTACTTGTACCATTCAACACTTTTTTCTTTCTTTTTGGTAAAATGGTATGGGCATCAGCCACCTAAGGTTTGCTGTCACTCTTGTGGCTTGATGAAGGCTGCAGTGCTTCAGTGGCACAGGATCAGCAAGCTGGGCCAGGATCAAGTCAGGTGCAAGGAAGAAGCAAGGACGCCTTCCCAAAGTGTTGAATAAACAAGCAGCCCTAGGTTAGCAAGAAGTTAATTCTTGGTTTCTAAAATAAAATGCCCCAATATGTCCAATGCAGGAAGTAGTCACTGGTTACAAAAATAATTACAGGGGAATAGAAATGACTCCTATTTTTCAAGGAAAAAATGCCACTTGTCACAAAAAGGTCTTAAACCAGCAATCTGCAATAAAACTGTTGT